CATTAACGCCCTAGTGTGGTGGAGAGAAACTAAGTGTGGAAAGCCGTTTAGAATCGCTTAGATCAGGGCAGCACAGGTTTCTAAGGTAGGGTGGGTCAACCACTCTGCTCTTGGCTTTCATTGTTAAATTCACCCTTCACGTGTTTGTTCTCCACTCTTCCCTGCCCTTCCTCCTTAGAGAGAGGAAGTTTCCAAAAAAAAATCCCTTAGAATTGAACCCAATGTAATACAGCACCACTACAGCCTGGTTAAACACCTATCCCTAACTCTCATTGTTGGGTGGAGATGTAGACAGACTAAGCGAGGGCCTGTACTACTCTGTTTAGAAAGTATCTGAATGTACTAGAAAATAACTAAATCCCAGGACATCACCAAGTGCTCATCTTCTGCATGTACTTCTCACTTTTTTTTTTTTTTAGAGTTGTAAACAAACGAGATGTTCCTGCCCAGTAAAACTTCGACATGTGGACCCCAAACGGCCCCATCGTCAAGATTTGTGTGGGAGATGCAAAGGCAAACGCCTGTCCTGCGACAGCACTTTCAGCTTCAAATACATCATTTAAGTAAAGGAATGTAAAAAGGTCCTGCTGGGCGCGTGCTAATGCAACAGACAAGGGAGCTTTCTTCCATCCTCCCTTCCACCTCTCCCTCCTCAAAGTGCTTCGTGAAAGGCAGTGTATTTTGACAAAGCCTTCAAATAAAGGTATTGCAAAACAACTTATAAATTTCACAAAATCTTGTCTTTGAAAAAAGTCTTGGAGCTTGGCTTGTGCTGACAGCCTGGGCCTGTCACTTTACCTTAATGCTAGTCGGTGGCATAGTGTGGCCCAGGCTCTGAGTTCGGTTGTAGCCACTTTAAACAGGGCCTCGTAGCCACAAGGCTTACTACTTGGGTAGGTAGCTAAGTTAAGTGAACAAAACCAAGCATTCCTCTGGAGGGAGGTGGAGGCGGTGCCAGTCTTTGATCGTATGAGACGAGACCATTTGAGTGGGAGCCCTGTGTGGCTGGTGAGGGTAGGTGGGCGCTTCAGCGTACAGGTGACCTTAGTTTAGGAAGTTACAGACTGGGTGGAGGGAGGCTAGGAGAACTCACCTGAATTGTTAATCACAACCTCACAAAGTGCTGCAAGTGAGGCTTGGAACGGGGTAGCTAGGGGCAGCTTAAGATGCTAAATAACATTCAGGTGGCAACATTCAGAAACAGAGCTTTAACAAGTAGGCGTCTATGTTTAAAGACTTTGTTAGACATAGGCTTTAGCCTTTGTCTTGACGATGTAGTCTGGCCTGTGTTTAGATTCTCATTCCAACTGCGTCTGATACCCTAGTTGAGGATGGCACTGAGCTGAGCCTCAGGTGCTTCTAATGACATTGGAGTTGCTTGGCTATTGGTTTAATGACTACAGAAACCAAGATTAGAACCAGGTGCTAATCGTGCCTCCAATGTTTTCTAACATCCCATTGAAGTTAACCCTTACTAGCTTGAAGGGCCATAGGAGTCTCTTAACATCTTGGACCCTCTGGTGTCGTCAATCAAAGGGGCTCAAAGGGCTGATAGTGCGGTTGGGGCCTCCATAGACTCCTGTCAAGGGGGAAGGCCCACCTGCATCAACGTGGAGCTAGAAGGTGCTTGTGAAAAGATTCCTAGGCCCCATCCTGACCGAATCACTATCGAGTGACGTTTCAGACACTGCAGGTGTTGCAGGTGGAACTGAAGCTCGAGAACCACTGCTTCGGCCAGCCTTGCTAAGATAAAGGTGGATTGGTCTCTGCTCTTACAGCGGGAGTGTCCGGTCCAGGGGGTAGATGGCCATTTATCTTTACCTAAAGAAATGGCAGATGGAAGTTCTGGCACGCGCTATGGAAGAGCCACTTAAGTGTGGTATATAGGGGATTTGACTAAGCGAGGTCCGGGGAGGCCTACCTGAAAGAATGACACATCAGCTGAGCTCGGGTTTGGATGAGTTGCATTAACATTGACTGCCCTGTGAGTTATATTTAACTCGGGCTAGTTTTGGCTGCGTGAAGCAAAACCCTGCAGTTGGTTTGTGAAAATCTTACTTGATCTTATTCTTACAATTAATATTGACAATTCTAAAAATGTGGATTGTGTTACATGTTGGTTTGTGAAAATCTTACTTGATCTTATTCTTACAATTAAAATTGACAATTCTAAAAATGTGGATTGTGTTGCATATAACTCACGAACAGAAAACAGTAACAAATTAGGGTCATGTTTTAATAAAACACTGTGGCCCCAGGGGAAAAAATTTTTTTCCTAGCGTGGCAGTCAATGTGTTAAGCAAAAAGGGGAGGGAGAAATTTTCCTGAATAAGGCAACACCATGTGCAGAGGCCCTGTATAGTAGAAAAACCCAGGAGGCTACCGTGGTAGAATACTGTGGAGACATGCCACCAGGTGAAACCAGCAGGGCCAGACTGGGAGGACTTTCTAAGCTTTGGTTAGGCTCAGTCTTTAGTAGTCAGTAAGAATCCACTATAAGGTTTTGTTTTTTGTGTTAGAGACAGGGTCTTGCTATGTGGCCCTGGCTGGAGGACAGTGGCTGGTCACATGGCATATTCACTGATTATAGCGCACTGCAGCCTCGAGCTCCAGGCCTCAGCCTCCAACGGGCACTGCACACGGCTATGCTAAAAGGTTTTAAGGGTGTATGGTGGGGATAATGGGGTATGGTGACAAACAGAATCGCCTTTAAAAGTATTAATCACGCTGGCTATAAAATGCATAGCTATAGATGAGACTTTTAGGGACCAGATAGAGTGGTCGTGGGGCGCACGAGAAATAAGAACTCTCTACATGCTTGTAAAAGCAATGCGTTTTTACTTGTTCTAACATATTGACTTGGTTGGGGGTGGGTGCGGGGATAGGAAACCCATTTGACTCCTATGGCATGCACGTGGTACTTGTGCTCGATAGCATTTGCTTGGTAAATGAACTATAGAAACGTATCTGTAATGAGTCCTAAGAAATTCACTGGCTATTAATATGGTTAAATCAGTCTTTAATATTGTTTGCTATTAATTTTCCTAACACAGCAGCTAACCGTTTTATAGCTGAGGAAAGCAAGGATCAAACTGTGTTTTACTTAAGGTTAGTGCACATTCGGGTATTGAACAAAGTGGCAGGAAAACATCTTGCTGTTGTAAGAGTTATGGAGATGATGTTCTAGCAATGAGGTACTGCCACACTCGTGTGCGTGCTATCCAAAACTCGTAAAATGTGTGTAGATGTTAAGACATTGGGAGAAGCTAGAAGGAAATACTTCATGATGTTATCTCTGGGTGTCAGACATGATTGTAGTTTTCTCCATATTTCCTACGTTTTCTAAAGTGACCATGGATTACTTTGAAAAATTAGAAAACAGGAATGCTATAAAACAATTACTGATATTTTATTTCCTTTCATTTAGTTTATGCTGGTGCCATACGAGCAGTCTTCATTCATAGGCCTAAATGAGGGAACCTTATTTTCTGGCTTTGGTCTTTTCCAAGACAACGTGTAGTGATTTCCTAAGTTTTAAGGTAGGTTGTGGGTTATACCACACCCTCTATTTTCATATCACTAAAAGTAGAAAGTATTTTCTAAGTTGTGTAAGAATCCTCTGGCTTTCTATTTTAGAAGCAGCAGCAAGAAAATGCCATCTCTCTTCTTCTGCTGTTATTTTACGAACGAGTATGTGATAAATTTAGTGGGTAAAAAAAGAAAAACGTAGCAAAAACTGGGCTCTAAGTGGAACTAAAGGTAGTAAGCTAAGCATTTGATGTATTTTGCTAACAAATGTAAACTTTGCATTCAGCTAATGAGCAAAGAAGCATCAGTTGCAAAGGGAGAAGCCTAATGAGTTTGTTTGCAACTTGCTTTCTACAGGTGTATCTTTTTTTATTACATTATTAATAGACTTAGTTACATATCAATACAAAAATCAAACTATTCAAAAGGTTTGGTTTGGGTAGTCAGTTTAACTAATTGTTTCGTTTTTAAGGCAAATTATATTTAAGAAGAGTGAAGGTAACATTTGACAGTTTCTAAGTAAGGCACACTGTAAACATTCCTTTTTAAAATACAACACAAACCACCAGCTACGATGCCTTTTATTTTTAACAAAGATGTAAGGAGAGAAAGAACGCAAAGTGTGGTGTGGCTCTGGACACCATCCCTCTCTGCCTGCCCCACACCCAAAAGTTATTAAATAATTTAAAGGACACCATTTACAGTACCAGAACACCATCAAAATAATTTTTTTTTTTTTTATCGAGGTCAAAAAATACAGTGATTATGAATGAGCCGTGACCAGTTACGGAATTTTACAGGAAACATAACTATGGTCAGCAGTCCAATGGGTGTGCACAGCGCCTTCAACTAATGTAATTAATGCACTTGGGCATACATCATTACATTTCTGGCAGGGTCCACACCCCCAGGAAAAGGCAAAGCTAAGCATATTTAATTTCTACATTCTAAACTCTGGAATCACAGAGCCCAGTTTAAAAGAAAAGTCACAGTGGATAAGAGATGCATATAAAAAGTACAAGGCATTCCTTTCAAATCAGAGGAGTTTGTGGGACTATGTTTTTTTTTTTCTTCTTTTTCTTTTTTTACAAAATGCTATTTAAAAAAGGACAGAGGCTCCAGTTCATGTTATGCTTCAGACTCCGACAGTGAATGAGTATATTGCATGTGTTGGGAGTCAGGCTTCCTTTCGTTTCCCGCCCCCGCAGCCAGAGGTTCCTTTAGCGTGAACCATGTGAGCCCCGAATAAACATATAAGAATGCATCTCTTTTCTGCAGACTTCAAAGCCTGCAAGTCATATATTAAGCCTGCAAGTCATATATTCTACCATCAATGACCACATTTTTTTCTTTAGCTTTGTACACCTATTCTTGTATAACAGTGCATGGCACGGCACGCATGTACAAGAAAATACTGGTTTTAGTCTATACAGTTTCTAGAATAATTATGGAGTAAAATAAGTTAACTTTTCTAATCAGAATAGCTGACAGGCAGCACACATTTTTATTTTACAGTTTTAAAGTCTCTGCAGGCATCTACTTTGGTTAGTTATCAACAGGTGTAACATACAAGCACTGGTCAGAGAACTGAGCAGCATTCCAATAACGTTAACAGATATATTATTTCTTTTCCAAATACTGGGAAAGCCCAGTTTTAAAATATTATTAAAATGTCCTAACATTTACAACACTATGAAGAGTTAGATCTAATAAAATAAAATTTCTTCAAAAATAATCTTGCAGTGCTCTTTTAGGCATGCTCTGAGACAGTATCACCAACCATCCATACCTTGAAAATATGACTATCACATACCATACATCCCAACACACACACACACACACACACACACAATTCCTTATACAGACCAACAAACAAAATAAACACACCCCAAACCCTTATCCCACATAGTGAAAAAATCAATGGTTTTTGCAAATCAGTTTTCATGTGTCCATCTGAGTGGATGTTCATGTTAGATGGGTAAGCATCACTGGCGGATATGCATGTTATGACTGCTGGGAATCCAAGTAGCTTTTGCAGGTCTTCGGCTAAAATGAGCCTTGATTTTCAGCCTCATCTCACCTGCTTTCGGATGTCCCCAGTACTAGAGGCCATTATTGCAAACATTCTTGGACTCCTTTTTCTTTCTCCAGAAAGTAAGGTATTTGTATGCATCACTTTTAGCCCTTTTCTTTTCACACAGGTTAAGTAATTTAAAAACTCCTTCTTCATACAGTTATCATGGGAGGTATTGGCAGCTGTTAAACAACTAGATTTTTTTCTTCAGATCTTTGTTACAGTTTGGCATTAGTTACATTGTCATTGTAGATGCTGCCAGAAAGTCATCAGTGAATCGCAAGGGTTCGTAAAAGGTGCTTGGTTAATATTTGTAATTATCTTCAGTTTCATTTCTTTCCTAAATGCCTGAAGTCTCTCAGAATCCAGTGCTCACCATATTTCCAATTGGTTTGGCCTGTGCTAGAAGCTGGTACGACTGCACCATGCGTAGAGACTCTCTTATTTCTAGATTAAGTTCCATCAGTTTGTAGTTGGCTTCTGACATGTCCAGGTTAGAGCCGACAATGGCAAAGCTTCCTGTCTGGCCCAGCGTCTGGTGGTGGAAATATATGTGTAACAGTGTCTGCACAGGGTCATCTTCGTAACTGCCAAAGATATCACTGGGCCAGAGAGCTCTGAAAATACACAATACTTTTTAAGTTCTAAGACTTAAGCAATTATTAGTCAAGATTAACTCAATTTTAATTAGCATGTATAACAAAAACAATTGCCTTGTGAATAACTGATGTTTTAATATAAATATATGAGCAAATACATTATCAAAGTACCACCTGAATATGAAAAATAATCTATCACTTCAGGGGTAACTGTTGAAAATGTTTTCCTTTCACGAAAACATGATATTGAAACATCAAATTGAAAACCAAAGCCTAATATTAAACTTCCAGTAGAGTTTAAAGGCATTATCTTTTAAATCCTTTCACATTTTACCTGAAAGCTTTGACTTGTGCTACAGCTGATATAAATTCCTTATTTTTCAAAGTTTCAATTAAAGAATGAATGGCAGTTTCTATAGTAGTTTGCGCAGCTTTGGAAATGTCGATTTCTTCATTTTCTGACGCAGACTCGGCTTCTTTGAGGATACTTTCCAACTGGGCAAGCTCCTCTGACATGTTGATGACCTAAAACAAGTGATACCTTTAGGGATCTCTTCGTATTTGGTTAAAGAAAATTTTAATTGGCTCTGAGGAGAGACCTTGATGGTAGCATTTTGTCTCTTAAAGGTTATTTGAAAGTGTTAAGTGTAGAAGGGCAATTAACATTTCAAGTTCTCCGTTCTGCAGGAGTAAATAAATTCTACCCAACAGTAGTCTTTAAATACTCTTGATAAAGCAATAAGTTAAAATAAATGTATATATTGGTTTTAGCATTATTACATTTTGGGTAGTAAAAATACATTTATTATCATGGGGTGATCATGAAAACCTTTGACTTTATGTTAAAAGTCTTTGTTAAAAGGTTAGTTACCCAGGGCATTTTATATAAATGTATTTTTCTTTTTACAGATTTAACCCTTTTAAAAAAAAATTAAGGTCTTGAACCTTTTAGGACTGCTGGGGTATCTGCTGTCTTATTTACTAATAAGTCCTGACCCAGCATATCATTTCAAAAAACGATAATTCCTCAAGTAAAAAAATGATTCATTGTGAGTTGACTCAAGCTATTCTAACAAGGAACATAGGTATGTACGTTTTTTGTTTTTGGTTTTTTTTTTTTTGAGACAGAGTCTCACTCTGTTGCCCTGGCTAGAGTGAGTGCTGTGGCGTCAGCCCAGCTCACAGCAACCTCACACTCCTGGGCTCGAGCGATCCTCCTGCCTCAGCCTCCCGAGTAGCTGGGACTACAGGCATGCGCCACCATGCCCGGCTAGTTTTTTTCTATATAGATTTTTAGTTGTCCAAATAATTTCTTTCTATTTTTAGTAGAGACGGGGTCTCGCTCTTGCTCAGGCTGGTCCCGAACTCCTGACCTTGAGCGATCCAACCGCCTCAGCCTCCCCGAGTGCTAGGATTATAAGCGTGAGCCACCGCGCCCGGCCGGTATGTACGTTTTAAAATTTTCTAGAATCAGTTACTGATGCCTAGTACAAATGAATATTTACCTCTGGTTCATTTTTTATTGTATTTACTTGGTTGATAAGTTTACAGTAGGCCTGGAACAAAAGCAGCAATTGAAAATGTAATTTGTATAGCCTTCGGCAGAGCTCCAGTTCCTAGAAATAAATAACATTACGTTAAATTTAGGTGGGGTTGTCTATGGTATTTGACTAGACAGCATATTTACAGTAAAAATTTATAAATGTTAAAATTATCTTGGCATTTTGTTTTCTGAAGTAAGCAAGTTAATATGGTGTGAAGCTGATGAAAAGTAGATGAGAGATGCTTTGAAGACAGATTAAAATAAAAACAAAGATCATTGTTGGTTACATAATTTTTAGGGTTAAGCACGTTTTCATCTTCAACAAATAATGTTTTGGTAGGCAATAAATAGGACGCTTTAAAAAGGATTCGCTATAATTTAAAACTTTAAATTCATTGTGAAAAGAATTTACAAATGCATAGACTTTTGCCCTCAGTGAGCTGTAGATCTCATTGCCTTTATCAACAAAATGCTTGATAAAGCAAAGTGCAACTGGATAACCTCTTACCTAAGAAGTAAGAAGAGTTTGTCTTTAAAATGAAGTCATTTTTCTCAAGAAAACCACTTGGTAATCTCATTGAAATGAGACTATGAAATTAACATGTGCACTTGGATTTTTAAAATTAAGAAATTTAAAAGGAGATGTTAGTTATAGATGTAGAAAAACGTGACTGCTAGTTGTACATATTAAAATCTCATTTTTATAGAACCAACATTTCATGGATTAGGGCTACACAAAACTGAAGCATACACTTTTAAAGTAGTCCATGAGAGAACACTGCTAGGTCACAAATGGACAAATGGCAGATGAAAACCGGTGTGTCTGGCAAAGGGTAAGTAGTCTGTAAATCAAGACAGGTCACTTACTGCTAGAATTTCCATTTGCTAAGCAAGAAGGTGATCAGGTCACAAAAAATACAAAAGGAAGAAAAAGACCAAGAATTAGTGTAAGAAATCATTTTAACTAGGGCCACAGATGTCCCAGGCAAACTGAAGAACATAATTTATACCCCAAAGAAAATTTTGTTATTACCAGAATGAAACTTCTTAGTCATTTACTGAAACAATTCAGGGTGTTTAACTCTTTGCCAAATAAACCATAGCCTAAATGTAATTACTTCTGTATAAGAGCTACAAAGAATAAAATTGAACTAATGTGATTTTGGGAAATACGGCTATTATGTGTTCTATCTAGGTTTAAAAAAACCAAACCCAAATGTAATAAAATTTCTATTAGTAGACAACTTATGATTAGAAAATAAGGAACAAATAAATTACCATTACTTCTCAGAAAAAACTGGCTTATAACCTTACATAATAAATACAGTTCCGAGGATTATTTTCCAGTGTGGCTTGTCCTAAACTTCCTACCCTTTACTGTCTAATTATGTCCTAGGCTGTCATAACTGATGCTGAGCCCCAGGGCAGACGTGTGTTCTAAATTGCATTCCAAAGGCAACTCAGTAAGTTTCAGAAACATAACCCAACTAGGTTTGAATCAAAGGAGACGATGTACATAAAACACATAGTGAAAAGTCTACCTTATGGACTGCCTTAAAAATTCTGTTAAAATATCTACAGCCACTTGGATGGTCTAATTAACAGAAGAATGACTTCTAATTAAAGCAATTGTTACAATGTAATGTAGCTTCTAGAAATGTAGCTTCTAAAAGTCATTCTTAAAAGCCTGCTTTTCTAAATATTTTCCTCTGAGGGGCTATTTATTTAACATTTATTCCTATCAATTTAGAAGGGATTTGCTAAACAAGCAAAGGTGAACTTTAGCTGCATGCTGCTTACCGTAAATCACGTGGATAGTCATTCGGTACACACTGTGTACAGCCCAGTGTCGAGCACGTTAGCATATGTAAACTTCTGAGGTTTTATTTTATACAGTTGATTTCACAGCAAAATGAACAATTCGAGTTTCATAAATAAAGGAGAACTGACGTGCATATATGCATAGCCTCTACTTTGAGGTGTAATAGGAAATAAATCACTGATAAAGTGTAGGATCATAATTGTAGGAAATAACACAAATGTAATTAATGCCATAGCCCTAAATGACCAGAAAGTGCTCCAAGTATGCTAGCAGTATAGTTTTTGATGACCATATGTATGCACACCATACATATGCTTTTTATTAAAATGTGCACATACATTCTCTTTTCATTTGTTCATCCACTAAATACTTGATTGCTTATTATGCAAAAGTCTATACTCGTAAACAAGGACAGATAGTAAAGTTGTGTAAAAAGGGTCCCCCACCCTCAGGAAGCTGAACATGAAAGGTGAGCAAAGCTATAAATCAAAGTCCTTACAGCTTTCACTTTCACTTAGTAGAAAGCCTCAAGCTATGTTAACTGACTTAGAGTCTTGGAGCTGGATCTCATTTCTTCAAGGTAGAAGGGATATAAAGTATCACTTAGTGTAACCACTTAGTTTATATACGAAAAAAGGTTACATTACTTACTTGATCTATGCAGTTAAACGGTGGTAAACACAGAATTAGAACCAAAGGATCCTATTCTGGTCTTGGGTTAATTCCTTATCTTGCTTTATTTCTTACATGGTGCAGGATTTGGAGTCAGCCTGCCTAGGTCTGTATCTTGGTTCTATTATTTACTTACTGATTTTAGATAAATTAGCTTCTCTGAGCCTCAGTTTCCTCATCTTCAAAATGCCGATAATTAGAGCATCTAATTGACTGAGTTTTAAGGACAGAGATAATGAATGTGAAATGCCTATTAGGCACAGTTAGCATTTATTGGAGTATACTATTTTCTCAGCATTGCAGTTTTTTCAAAACTTTAGATTTTTATTATAACTTTTACAGAGACTAGAAATCCGTAGTGATGTAACTAAAGTTGAAAAAGACTGGAATTCTTATGTCAAATGGAGATAAATTTTAGTTGATGAATACATTTTACCCATAGGAGGTTGTACTCCAGTTAGAATCATCTGTAGGTTCTAATTTATCCTCACTACAATGTATTACGTATGTGCACCTTTTTCTGAGAAGATATATGGCTATTATTTTCATCAGACTCTATAATGGAGAAAAACATTATCCAATCAGAATTTCACCTTTAGAAAGGCTAATATGGATGTGTACACATGACCCTTAGGTTTGCTTTCCTGAGCAGACAACCCAGCTTCAGAATACCAGTGCTGCCCAGATAGCCATCAGGCTTATCTACTGAATGTTATTAAGCTTCAGTCACAAGCTGGTCGTTCCTTTTTATTAAAGTGAATTTTTCATTACTAAGCCAATATTTCATGGAACCTAATTTTTACAAAGATTGTTCTGATAACCAAAATGAAAAGTTTTACATATACTATTTTTAGAAAGAGCAAATAAAGGCATTTGAACATGAGCATATACACTGTTTTACCTAATATAGAAATATAGCAAAAATAAGAATTAGGAGCTTACTTGTGCGTCTGTGTTTATCCTGTACATGTCTTCTTTGGCACCAAATGTCCTCTTACAATTGTCTAGCCACTAAAAATAAGCAACAGTAAATTTTAATACAGTGACTGTATAACACACAATGAAACTGGTAACATAACAAACAGCCTGTCCATACAAAACAACGAAGTTAACTTGAAGTTCTAGGATTGGTTTTAGGCATAGGCTTTCCTCTCTATTCGAGCCTAATCACTTATATGGAACAAACGAAAGCAGGATACTATCAGCATAACGGCAGCATGCACAGACTTGTGACGATTTAACAAAAACACAATAAATGGTCCTTCTATATGGGAAACCGTGGTGCTCCATTTCAGTAAATAATATTCTTCATTTTGCAGAGTTTGTGGAACTCTCCGTAATCCACACCTGACCTTTATGTAATGTAAGATGGGAAATGAAAGAAGTGCTTCCCCTCTGGTCAATTTAATAAAGGCAACAGAATTAAC